GCTTCTGTTAGGTCCATACCATTTCTGTCCTTTATTGAGCCCATCTTTGCATGAAATGTTCCCTTGGTATCTCTAATTTTCTTGAAGAGATCTCTAGTCTTTCCCATTCTATTGTTTTCCTCTATTTCTTTGCATTGATCACTGAGGAAGGCTTTCTTATCTCTCCTTGCTATTCTTTGGAACTCGGCATTCAAATGGTGTATCTTTCCTTTTCTCCTTTGCTTTTCACTTCCCTTCTATTCACAGCTATTTGTAAGGCCTCTTCAGACAGCCATTTTGCTTTTTTGTATTTCTTTATCTTGGGGATGGTGTTGATTCCTGTCTCCTGTACAATGTCATGAAACCTCCGTCCATAGTTCAGCAGGCACTCTGTCTATCAGATCTAGTCCTTTAAATCTATTTCTCACTTCCACTGTATAGTCATAAGGGATTTGATTTAGGTAATACCTAAATGGTCTAGTGGTTTTCTCCATTTTCTTCAATTTCAGTCTGAATTTGGCGATAAGGAATTCATGATCTGAACCACAGTCAGCTCTCGGTCTTGTTTTTGCTGACTGTATAGAGCTTCTCATCTTTGGCTCATGTCAGGAGCTCTATTTTTATTGAAACCAAGTGAGGAGTAGTGGGTGGTCATGCTGTGGAGACATATTTGTCTCTCTGCTTCCCTTCTGCCCACTTTCTAGCTCTTTTTTTTCTACTCCAAATGCCAGAGCTTGTGCCCCAGATGAAGATGCTCTTCCCCTGGCTCACCATCTACCTGGACCAGTCCCAAGTAAAGAGCTGGTGTCTGTCCAGTAGAGATGCTGCCACAATAATTGCAGGAAGCCTGATGTGTCATACCTGCCTTGTGAAGTAGGTGAGGCTAAGATTGGGGGGGGGGGAGTGGGCAGGATGTAAAGACACCTATATAAGGCTTTAAAGGAGGACCTGTGCTAACACACTGCTGATCACCTACCAGTCCTGTGATCTGCTCTCATCCACTCATTGACCATCCATCATGTGCCATGCACCACTCTAGGTG